CCCCAAAACCCCAAAACCCCAAAACCCCAAAACCCCATAAACTAAATGATAATTTGAAAGCAATAGAAAAATAAATATTTAAAAACAATGGAAGAGAATATAGACCATAACCAGAGTGGACTTCCCATCAAAGAGGAGGAACAGAAGGAAATTGCCCAACAAGAACAGTTCAAAATTGAAAATGAGACTCAAGAATCAGGCCCAATTGATATTGAAAATCAGCCGGAACCGGTCAATATGGCTGACATTATCAACCAAGTGCCTAAGATGGTAAATGAGTTATAATATTTGCTTAAATTTGTTCTTGAGTAGCTTTTGGTGTTTCCAAACTCACTCATCACTATTTCGATCAGATTTGTTTGCCTCAATAAATAGATTTTTAAATTTCAGAAAATGTCCAAGTTTTGGATTAATCTGAGCAGCTAATGTATAGATACCAAGTCCAGATATGATAGGAGCTATCAAGATAAAGGATGCTCTCTTTATTGGCGATGAACTTGCCTCCCAGGACCTGGAGTTTGTTGTGACCAACAAAGTCAGCCACATAGTAAACTGAGCAGGCAGAGAAATTCCAAACCATTGGGAGCCTGTTGGGATTGAGTACCTTACCTTCTATTGGGTTGATCAAGATAACCAAGTCTTGTTTGATCCTGAGGATAATATCACCAATGAGATCCTTAATTTCATCGATGAGGCACTTGAGAATGGAGAAAGTTGCCTTGTCCACTCTATTAGAGGTCAAAGCAGAGCCTCTGTAGCTCTCAGTGCATACTTCATGCAAAAATATAAATGGAGTTTATACAAAACTCTTGAGTTTTTGAATTCAAGAAGACCAGATCTTGAAATTCGTGCGGCCTTTGTTTCCCAACTTGCAGATTTTGAGCAAAAACTCATTGCTCAAGAAAGGGGACCTCAAACAGCCAACTGGAATGAGGTCGCTAACAAAGAAATCGCTTTAGGTCAAGACAAGTTCTATTCAGATGAAGAGCTAATTCTTCGAAATACTTTCCTAAATGCTCAGCTTGGTTTCAGTAAATCGTTCGATAAAGTTCCTGATAAATCGGACATTGAACCTGAACCAGCTTTAAAAGAAGAATTCACTCAGTCAAAGATTAGATGGATTGATAATAACGAGAACAATAAAGAAAAGCTTAGGACAAACAACTCAGAAGATGATCTGTTATGCCAAGATAGCATCAAAGAAGTTATCTCTCATAAAGCCAATTCTCACCAAAAATCTATCATAAAGCCTTGGAAAGGCTCTGGTTTGGATATTGGTAGCAAATCTGTCTGTCAACCCTCTCAACATGTAGAAAAGGTGATTCAAAAAGAAGATATCTCAGATAATCATTTCAAAAGTCTCAAAAACAAAGGTGATCCCTTAGTCCTGAATGATATTAATGACGAAACTGAAGATGATAAGTCTGATCTCCGAGTGTCTCAGACCCAGATAGTACATCAAGATCCCAAAGACAACAAGTTAATTGAACAATTTTACGAGAACAGGCCTACAAAGAAGCACTATGCGCCTAAAAAGGATCAGAAAGCCAATAACTCAGAGCCTGTCGATCTCAAGAAGAGGATATTTGTTTCTAAGAAGTCCACCAGTCCAAAGAGAGGCAAGAAAAAGAATGTAGAAAAACCTCAGAGCAATGGCTCTGCTTTCCAAGATGATTCCCAAAACACTAGCCAAAAAGACGTAATTGTCCGGCGAATCAAGAAGAAAGGAGACAATCCTAAAGCTGCTTATAGCCAGAATATGGGATTCGTGCATAAATAAGTCGAATTCTGAATCGATGAATGAGGATAAAAAGCACTCCAAAAAGAACTCAATTGTATCATATCCAAATGCAAGCATGAAGAAGGAGGACAAGATGACCAGGAAGGAATTTAGAACTCACAAATATCAAAACGCACTCGAAAAGTTTAATGAATTTAAGAAGGAAAGAGAAATGCTCAGGAAGAACACTCCTATTACTAAGTTCAGAAAAAGCAGTGCTAAAAGGAGTAAGTTTCCTGTGTTATTTCTGTAGAAAACATTAAGAATAATCTCCAAAAGATGCAGAAACCCAAGTCCTTGGCGATGATGAGAACCCAGCCGCTTAATAACAACTATATTGATTTTAAAAATACTCAGGACCTTACTAAGCTGATTCCTGATAGACATAGCGCTATGTCTTTGCAGATCGGAGGGGGGACTTATAGTCAGTACAAGAACAAAACAAATTCAAGGATTACACAGAAGGCTAAATCACGGGCTGGATCAAGTCAGGGGTTTGCTGGTTCCAAAAATTTTGAGAATAATATCAACTATGCTAATTATCAAAAAATTTACTCAAATGTTGGGCAACCTATCAGAGCAATTCAAAGGAAACACCATAAATCTATGGGGAAAAAGATTCCATCCATGGGAGAGCACTCTCAGGGGAGAAAAGAAGTTAAGAGACCACCCAGTAATAAAAGAAAATCTTATTCAAACAAACCCAAGAGGCCTATCTCTCCCAAGGCTGGGGCTTTCTACGGCAAAATAATGGGTGTTGAGAGGCCAAAATTTGTTAACAACTCTAAGCACCACAAAATAGCTTCTGCGACTCATGGTTTTGAGTTTTATAATGCAGAAAAAGTATATAACGACACTAAGCAAATTAAAGTTACTCAGAATAAGAAAGTCAACTCCAAAAAGGGCTCCAGAATTAGGTACTTCCCTAGATTAATTCTATAGGTCAGCTTCTCCAGCAGTCCTGAATCCAAATGTAGCTAATGAGAAGAAGTTTTATATCCCTGGGGTAGTGCCAACCCATGGAATTGGAGTGACAGGCAACAAGATAAAGATTTCGAAAGGTGATGTTATGCATAAAATCATCCCTGGATCGGTTAATCACAAGAAGAAAATGAGGAACAAGAGTCTCTCTAAAACAGCTCAATATAAGAATCCTTTGAGAGGTTTACAGTATTAATTATTTCTATGATAATTACCAATACATTTGAAGGCTTTTGAATTCTGTTCAGTAGCTACATTCTTTGCAGAACTAAACTTCTTGTGTTCCGATAGTGGATTAGAAGGTGTAAAGGTTTTAATGACTTGGATTACAAAGAATATTGAATTTAATCAGTTTCAACTTTATATGCTGTAAACGGGGTTTTGGGGTTTTGGGGTTTTGGGGTTTTGGGGTTTTGGGG